TATATATATATTCTTTTCTTTTCTAGACAAATGCTGCTGACTAATCTTTAACACGTAGGTGATGAGAGAGAGACGGTTCAAATTTTCCCTTTTGATCAAACTTGTTTTACCCCAAAGATTGCTGACTTTAAAATGTTATCACTACTGAAGAGCTTAATAAATTCAAATTCAAAGCTTAATTACCAGTTTCATATGTAACCTAACAATCAGATTTAACTCAGAACTATTACCAATTTCCCTACTGACCTCTTTTTGTTTTTACAACCAACACAATGAATTGGTAGGTTCGAGTTTTATCATTATCGTTTCTTTTCTTTAAATCATGAGGAAGAATAATTAGACACCAGAAAGTTACAGTTACTGCGGAATTATTACTATTTCAGTTTTCAAACCCTGTCGGAAATAAATAGATAAGGTTTATTCAGCCAGAAATATTTTGTCTTAAGCGTGCAATCTCAGCCGTTCTCCAGCTACTTTGTACTCTCTGTCTTTTTAGGGACACAACATTCTTATTATTCTATTATATTTCAAGGTGTTTGTCTAATGGTTTAGTCTGCTGACAGATGTCATGTAAGCTGTCTGTCTCTCATGGCCCTTTCAACAGTCACCCCTCCACCTAAAAACCGCATCCATGTTTTACTTAACAGCGTAAATTTTTTCCTAGAACATACAACACGCCAATACATACAAAAAAGGGATAGAAATAAAAGAGTTTGACTCCTGGATTTTTTCCCAATGCATCCGAATCCGACCTCAAAAAAGGCTTTCTAATAAAACGGAATCCCCCACCAGCAAATCACAAAATAAGACGCATGGATTTTTCCTTCCCATGGGCAATTCTAACTGCCCTGGGGCACGCCACCACATAATCTTATCTTGACCCCACCTAGTCAAGTGCCGTCCTTTAAAGAAGACACACTCAGGATTTTGGAAAGAGCTCATGAAAAGGCCTGACGAAAGGGTAATATATTTACACGCAAAACACACCAAAACGTATATTAAAACACATTTTACTTCCTAAAGGGCCCAATTTATTGTATGGCTTTAAACCCCCACAAACTGTTATGTTCAAATGCTTTTAACCCGTCTTTATAACCGCCCACATTAGTCAGCGTTTGTTTGGCTACGCTCAACACCACGCTGCTTTTGCTCAGCTGACACACAGGCTTAGCTTAGCAAAGCTAACACTTAGCGGGGCTCCTCTAACCCCCAGCCCCACGCGCCAGCCGGTGGAAAAACAGATCGTCTTTCAGTCCTGTCTGTTTATCAAAATGGAAAGCAAAAAAGGATTTTGCTCACCTGTTGTCTGGCGCCCAGAACCTATGACGACCCGGCTCCCCCCGCTAGGCGCAGCAGCTGAGAAAACAAGGCAGCTCCTGCCTCGACTTGCAGTCCGACGTCGGGGTCACCAAAAACTGTACGAAAATTTGTATTCAATAAACTGAAGTCGAGATGATAAACACAAACGTTAAATAAAATGATTTGTAGGAGGAATGAAACCAAACAACACCAGAACTCTGGAATCTGAGTGAGGTTTATTGTCGCTGAAGCAGACAGGAAACCCACACTCCCCAAAAAACAGGAAGTTCATGTATTTATACAGTATTTATGTACATGCCTTCGCTCGCCCCCTGCTGACCTACGGCTGAGTCACAGGCATTCAGACAAAATTCTCAGCTAATGCCATTCAAATGTTTAATTATGTGTTGTAAAAGATGTTTCAGACATGTAACTATACCTATTTCAATCAAAATATAAGAGATAAACTGTCAACATTACAAAAAGGAGAACTTAAGAATATAGTGTTGTGCTTTTAACATCAGTACTAATCTCCCTAACTCTAAATTTCTTCACAGAACAATGACAATAAAGTCATCATCAATCAACAGTGCAAAATGTGAAATCTTGCCATTTCTTAACTGGTCTTAATATTTTGATCAGGACTGTATTTTGTGATGAATGTCTCAACACACCCCTTACCTATCCTCTCAGGCGAGTCTACATTTCCTACCTGGACAGCGTACACTTCTTTCGTCCTCGTTGTCTTAGAACAGCAGTTTACCATGAAATCCTCATTGGATACTTGGAGTATGTCAAGAAATTGGGGTGAGTCTTGTTGCTAAATAACGTACAAAGTAAAATGTTTTACTTCAACATTCATATACTTCATTTATACAAAGTTACATTTTGTTTTGTTGTTTGTTCCTATGTTCTTAGTTACACCACTGGACACATCTGGGCTTGCCCACCTAGTGAGGGTGATGACTACATCTTTCATTGCCACCCTATGGATCAGAAAATCCCAAAGCCCAAACGTCTTCAGGAGTGGTACAAGAAGATGTTAGACAAAGCTGTTGCAGAGCGGATAGTACACGACTACAAGGTAAACGGAACACAACTGTGTTGTTGTTTTACTTTTTGTCAAAACGGTTGTCGTTATTTAGATTTTATACTGCATGTGAGTCAGATTTGTGTGAAAAGTAACTTTTCTGTTTGTTTGGTTTTTTTTTTCGCCCCAAAAGGACATCTTCAAGCAGGCAACAGAGGATCGTTTAACAAGTGCCAAGGAACTGCCTTATTTTGAAGGAGACTTTTGGCCCAATGTCCTGGAGGAGAGCATTAAAGAGCTGGAGCAGGAAGAGGAGGAGAGGAAGAGAGAGGAGAACAGCACTTCCAACGAGAGCATTGATGTAAGACTGAATCACAAATTCAGCTCCTAGATTCTTCACATTTTTGCTTCTGTAAAAAATAGCAGAAATGTTGATTAAATGGCTATTTTCTGTTCCATCTGCAGGACACAAAAGGTGACAGCAAAAATGCAAAGAAGAAGAACAACAAAAAGACAAGCAAGAACAAAAGCAGCTTGAGCCGATCTAACAAGAAGAAGCCCGGAATGCCCAATGTCTCCAACGACCTTTCACAGAAACTTTATGCTACAATGGAGAAACACAAAGAGGTAGGAGTTTACAGGTTTTTTACTAACCAGCTGTTTTAGCAGGGCAATAACTCAGCATTTTTTGCTTCTTTGTTTGCTCAACAATATATTTATTAAATGCAAAAGACTAAATCTCTAATAATATCCTTTCTTTATCACTTTCTAGGTGTTCTTTGTGATCCGGCTGATTGCTGGCCCCATGGCAAATGCCTTGCCCCCTATTGCAGACCCAGATCCCCTGATGGCATGTGACCTGATGGACGGTCGAGATGCTTTCCTCACATTAGCCCGAGACAAACACCTGGAGTTTAGCTCTCTGAGGAGGGCTCAGTGGAGCTCCATGTGCATGCTGGTAGAGCTGCATAACCAAAGTCAGGACCGTTTCGTTTACACTTGTAATGAATGCAAACACCATGTGGAGACTCGCTTCCACTGTACGGTCTGTGAGGTGAGTTTGTCTTTTTTGGGTTTTCTTGTAGTTTGTGCTCGAAAAAGCATGCCCAAATGTAACTGGGTGTATCTCAGCACCTAAAAACACCATAGAAATACGCTTGATATTAAAATAAAGCTAACACTTGGGAGATATCATCAGGAGTGTAAGTATCACATCAAATGCTTTTGTTTCAGAGATACTGAGGATGGAACATAGAAAAAAAGCTTTTTTCCCCCTCGCCTGAGGTTTTTCTGCATTATACAGTATATAACCTTTTCAAAGGTATAATGAATAAGGCTAAAAACTTTTAGAAACCATGAGTCCAGTTATGGACATTACCTGTGCAAAACCTCATGCTGCCGAAGTAAACTACAACAAAGTTACAGAGGTTTTAGTTTAAAATATTTAGGCGTTTTTTCTTGTGGCACAGATTGGCACATTTTGGCACCACCTAAAAAAAAGTTTTTAGTTACAAAATTTAAAAAAAACTTAATAAATAAGTGAGCTAACTAGCAAAAARGGCACATTTTATATTTTATTTTATTTTTTTAAACGGCACGTAGACACAACCAGAAGTCCGGTGATTGACGCTGAGCTTTACATGTAAAACTTTTTATAATTTTCAAATCCGAGTGCTTGGTCTTCTGTTTTTTTGCTGCTAGTTGAGTGAATTCTGGTTGGATTGTGATGAAACTTATATTTTTAGAATCTGTCAGGTCTCTGCTTTCAGCAGACATGTTGTTTTGTGTGTGAAGAAGTCACTGGTGAACAGCTGAGACCGGGTTTTGACGAGACGCCAGTTTGTTTACATACAGATTCAACTGCTTGTTGTTTTATCTGTCTGGTGGACGTAGAAATGGTTTATATGAGTTCGGGGGCATGGGGCTCAAGAGGTTAAAAATCTGTTGAAGTTTTCCTCATCTTGTGTTATTTCTGTCATCTCATCCAGGATTATGACCTCTGCATCACATGCTACAACACTAAAGGCCACGTGCACAAGATGGAGAAGCTTGGCCTTGGTTTGGATGATGAAAGTAGCAACCAGGCTGCTGCGACCACTCAGAGCCCAGGGGATTCCCGCCGCCTCAGCATCCAGCGCTGCATCCAGTCTCTGGTCCACGCGTGCCAGTGTCGAAATGCCAACTGTTCGCTGCCGTCCTGCCAGAAGATGAAACGTGTCGTTCAACACACGAAAGGCTGCAAGAGGAAAACGAACGGTGGCTGTCCCATCTGCAAGCAGCTCATCGCACTCTGCTGCTACCACGCTAAGCACTGTCAGGAGAACAAGTGTCCCGTCCCGTTCTGCCTGAACATCAAACACAAGCTGCGGCAGCAGCAGCTGCAGCACCGGCTGCAGCAGGCCCAGATGCTGCGCAGGCGCATGGCCAGCATGCAGAGAGTGGGCCAGCCCGCTCCAGGAGGACCCCCTGGAGGAAACGGCCTGCCGTCCCCTGGAGGCAACAATGGAGCCACCGGTCCAGCTACCCCCACCTCTGCTGGTACGCAGCCCCCCACCCCACAGACACCAACCCAGGGTAACATGTCGGCCCTCTCTCAGCTGCAGGGCGTGGGGATGGCTGGGATTGGAAGTCCAGGCCAGCAGCAAACTGGTTCTGTTCCCCCTCAGCACCACCTCCATCAGTCTGTGGCTGGAGTGGGGGTGATGGGGTCTCCTCAGCAGCAGATGGTGCCCCCTCTGCAGCAGCAGGCCCCCAATGTGCAGCAGCTTCCTGGTGCTTTGCCTCCTTACAATCACAGACCACCTGGAGCCTCCCCTCCGTACCAGTCACTGGGAAAACCTGGTTTGGGTCCAGCCACCCCACCCCAGCAGCAGCAACAACCTAACCAGGGACAGGGGCCCCTGACACCAGGCCAGCAGCAAGGGCCCCCCCCAGCTGCTGTGGAGACGGCCCTGCAGATCCAACGCTTGGCAGAGACTCAAGCTCAGAGGCGTTGCTTGGGTCAGGGGGGCATGATGCCCCCACATGCTCACCATCAGAACAGCCAAGCCCAGATGGGACTGCACCACATCGGCCCCCAGGGCCTGCCCCCCCAGGCTCAAGGGGTTGGAAGGACTCTGTTGGATTCTCAGCTGCAGGGTGGTCCTCAGTCCCAGCTGCCCCCTCAGGTTCAGCTGCAGCAGGTTAGCGGGGGCCTGCTGCAGCCAACAAACCAGCAGTGGGGGGCTGGAGGGGGGGCCATAAACCCACAGCAGATGGCGGGGCTAATGGGGTCCATGGCCCAGCAGCAGCCAGCAGTGGCTCAACAGCAGCAACCAATGAACCCTCAACAGGCTGCGCCGGGACCCCGTGGGTTAATAATGGGTGTATCGGGGGCAGCTGCTCCAATCCCAGGGGCAGCTGGAGCAGGAAATCTACCCCAGGGGGCGCTACAGGAACTCCTGCGAACTCTGCGCTCTCCCAGCTCCCCCCTGCAGCAGCAGCAAGTCCTGAGCATCCTGCGCTCAAACCCAACGCTCATGGCTGCTTTCATCCGGCAGAGAGCAGCCAGATACCAGGGGGGTCCTGCAGGACCACCACCACCTGCAGGACCTGGAGGTGTGAGGTTCCCCTCAGTGTCTGCAGGATTACCTGGCAACCAGCACACAAATGTAGAGGCTCAGCAGCAGGTTAGTGTCAGCCAGCTGGCTCAGCCAGGACTGAGTGTGGCTCAGGGGGGAGGAGGGAACATGGCCGCCATGGCTCAGCTGCAGCAGCAGCTGCAGCAACAACAACAACAACAACAACAACAACAACAACAACGGCCCACGCTGCCTGGGAACCTCCAGCAGCTGTCTGCGCTGCAGCAGCAGCAGAGCAACATGAGTCCTCAGCTCAGAGAGCTGTTCCTGAGGAGACACCTGGCCCAGCAGCAGGGTGGGGGTCACGGCCAGTTCCAGCAGCAGCAGCAGGGCCAGCAGGGTTTCATGCAGCCAGGACCAGGACAGTCAGGGGTCCTGCCCCCCTCCCAGCCTGCAGGAGGGGCTCCACAGCAGCAAGGCTACTCCAGCTCCATGCAGCAGGTGTCTGCAGCGCTCCACCAGAGGTTCCCTCATCCTCTGGGGGCTCATCAAGGACCGGATGCAGGAGGAGGAGGACCCTCCCCACATCAGCCTGGACCAGGTGGATCAGGGTCTGTGCAGCAGCAGGGTGGGGTTGGCGGTGCCCCCTCCCTGCCACAGCCGTCTGCAGGGATGGTTCACCAGAACCTCCATCCCAGGCTCCTCCAGCAGCAGCAGCACCTCGGGGGGGGCTCTCCCGCCCAGCACAGCAGTCCTCTGAGCCCCCAGCAGCAGATGGCTCAGTCGCCCCACTTCCAAGGACAAGGAGGACTGGGTCCAGGGGGGTCGCTGGGCCGGTCACCCCAGCCCTCCCCGAGGCCACAGTCACAGCCCCCCCACTCTAGCCCGTCCCCACGCATGCAGCCCCAGCCTTCCCCCCATCGGATTTCCCCCCAGACCCAGACGGGCTCACCGCACCCAGGCCACCTGGGTCAGCACCACCCCACCATGGCGCCCCCTCAGCCCCCAGCAGCTCCAGAGCCCTGTCCGTTCAGTTCCGAGCAGAACTCCATCCTGTCCCACCTGAGTGGGATGACAGGGATGCACGGAGGTCCGGGGGGCCAGCCGGACATGTTGGGGGACGAATAATCCCCAGAAGCCAGGGCTGAACCTGGACTCCTGTCCTCTGGTCCCAGCAAGACAGAAAAAGACTTTTAGAAGTTTTTTATTTTTTATTTAAAACTTTTTGTGATGTACAGAACTGAAGCTTCCTGTGGGAGCATCACAATCTGAGAAATCAGTAAATTAAAACAATGGTAAGTTATTGCTGTTAATATATACTTAGATATATTTTTGCCAATTGTGTACAAAAAAGGCCGGAGGACAGCATTTTCCCGTGGAGATATTTCTTCCTTAAATATACAAGAATATTTTTGAGGACAAAATTTTGCCTTTTTAATAAAGATTTTTAGGATTTCAACTGTGGCTAAAATAAAAGTGAGTTGACACCTTTTTATTTTTTACATGTTTATTTTTTCAGTCATGATTGTATCAGTTTTGCTCAGTCTGTTTTTTACTTTTTCTGTTTGTTTCCTGAATGAATCTTAGAACAAGCATCAACACACCGTACTTTACAGATGAACAGTTTGAAGACTTCGTCTTTAATTTAGTTTAATTTAAAGGGAGGGTGGAAGTGTTTAAAGAGATCCATGATTAGTTGTAACATCAGACTTTATTTAATAAACATGTATTTTAACTGTAAAATAAAGACTGTAAAAATACTGTAGGCTGTTTAGTTTTTATCATTTTTAAACTAAAAGTTTAAAAGTATATTACACGGACAGGGCCATTTTATTTACACGCAAAGTATTCTGGGTAAATGATGACATCAACTAGGTCATCGGTGTGAGGCTGCTAGCGAGCTATGAGGAGGAGGTAGAAATGACTCTGCCTGTAACTGAAAATATGGATGGTGGACAACAGTGTAGCTTGTTTATCGCGCTAGCGCTGAGCTAATACATATAAGGTAATATAGGCTGTGTCCAAAACGGCAGGCCGGGTCCTCCGAAGGTCGAATTCGTCGGCTGCATACGTCACAGCGC